TGACTCACAACAAGTGATTGCAAAGACCATGGCCTGTATCAGATGCACCTTAGTCTCCAGAGAGACACCATCGCTCTCAGTACTTTGGACAGGTCCCTAACAGCAGACTTTTCCTATTGCGGTACATCTTTTAACATCCCTGCTGCTGGTGCCAAGAAGGCTAGAAAAATAAGTGTCTTGGTGTGTCTGGGGGGTAGAGACGGGAGGAGGTCTTTTCATAGCATCATCACCCTATGAGGAGTCCACTGAGGGCCTGATGTTAGAAGCCACTTGTGACTGAGATGCTGTGAGATTGGCAGCTGTTCGTGCTGCAGGGGTAGCGTCAACTCCGCGTGTCCTCTGACACTGTGCTTCCCTCTCCAGGTGGCTGGCCTGCCTGGTCGTTTGCTGCCTGCTGACCCTCATTGTGATCTTTTTCTACCTGGGGATGCTGTGTGGCATTTGTGGCTATGACAAGCAGGCCACCCCGACCAACAGGGGCTGCGTCTCCAACACCGGCGGCATCTTCCTCATGACGTGAGTGTTTGCTCTGCCTTGACATGTGGAGGTTGGGGGTGTAGGAAGGGGGGCAGGTGATGATTCTGGTATCACGTGGACTTGCTTTCCCCCGTCCTCAGTATTCTGGTTCCAAGAGGACCACTGAAACCCAAGGGGACCATTGAAAGCCAGTGAGGCCATTGAAACCCAATGAGATCGTGAAACCCAGTGGGACTATTGAAACCCAGTGTGGCCATCGAAACCCAGTGGGCCAACTGAAACCCAGTGGGACCATTAAAACACATTGGGACCATGGAAACCCAATGGGACCATTGAAACCCAATGAGGCCATTGAAACCCAATGAGATCGTGAGACCCATTGGGACTATTGAAACCCAGTGGGGCCATTGAAACCCAGTGGGACCATTGAAAGTCAATGGGACTATTGAAACCCAAAGAGACAATTAAAACCAGTGTGGCCATTGAAACCCAATGGGACCACTGAAATCCAGTGGGGCCATTAAAACCCAGAGGAACCATTGAAACCCAGTGGAACCATTGAAACCCAGTGGAACCGTTGAAACCCAGTGGAACCATTGAAATCCAATGGAACCATTGAAATCCAAAGAGGTTGTTGAAATCCAGTGAGACCATTGAAACATTTTGAAACTCAAGAGAACCATTTAAACTCAAAGAGATCATTGAAACCCAAAGAGGTCATTGAAGCTCATTGGGACCACTGAAACCCAAAGAGACTATTGGGCTTACTTGGTTTGGGCATTTTCAGCAAATATAAGAAGCCAATGAAAACTCTAAACTGGCTTTACTTTGATCAAGAAGTTCAAACACACTGAGTACATGCTATGGACTACTCTTTAACTCGTTCAAAGCTAGTGGGACACATGATACCCACCCATACTTACACTTCTGGGATTTATGGGAAGCTTCAGTCCCACTTCTAGTGCATGCTGCAATGTTGTGGAGACCTACATAACTGTATAACTCTGGAGTAACTGAGTGATTCCACCAATCCAGCACCAGAGAAGCCTTGGGACATATGTGTCCCCCTAATTATAGTGCTATCTACATTAAAGCTACTAGTTAATTCTTACTCATAGCAATGTTCTGTTAGGTTCTGAGGCTGTAAATCTTTATGGGAGGAAACTGCCCATCTTCTCCTGCAGAGCTGCTGGTGGATTTCATTCTATTTAGAGAAAGAAAATTACATTTCATTCAAAATGCCTTCTATTACTGAAAATACGTGCTTTCAACAATAGCAATGACAAAATTAAAGCAAAAATTTACTCAGTTCTTTAGAGGGTGAAAATTCTTTCCAGATTTGCCTTCTTGGGTCCTCTTGCTCTTCCCTCATTCACTCAGAAGCTTTATATGTCTGACACTGGTTTGTGTGGTCAGAAGTATCATACAGTTGTTCTTCTAAACCCCAGGAACCTTGATTTAGAACAGAATTTACCAACCCAGTAAGCATCCAGGGGCTTCAGACTTTTACTCCAAAAACAGACAAAGAAAACCAGTTTCCAATGAACTGATTCCAATTTAGGGTGACCCCGTGTGTGTTCAAGTAGAACTAAGTTCCAGTGGAGGATTTGGGGAGCTGGATTACTAAACCTTTCTTTTACTGCAACTCAGGGTGGATTTGAACCTTCAGCCTCTAGGCTTGAACACGTTAATTGTACTACCCAGAAACACCAAATTAGGGATGAGAACAGTGTCTCCAGGGAGTTGTGTGCCAGTAAAGAAGGACATAGCCTACTGGTACAAGAATGTTCATTGTAGTTTTAGAAGAATCATAGCTCCAGCGGGATTGTTTATTGGGGCCATGAGCCAGGTGTGACTGGAAATGAGGGGACCAGAAATACAACCCAGTTGTAGGTGGGTAGTTCTGAATGCTCCTGAGAGAGAAACCTGTGTGAGTTCTGGGTCAGTATTCCCTTTGTTATGAACTCACCTGAGAAACAAAAGTAGAGAGTGTGGTCTGATGGGACTCCAGAGAAAAGATGTACTAACTATATGGAGCATGGAGAATAGCACCTCCTAGAGGCAAGTTAGAGAACCACAGCTGCATCTGGCCTCGGCTATTTGGTTCTTATCTACCTGTGTCACTAGTAGACAAAGATTCTCACCACTGGACCAATTGGCAGCATCAGAATGAATGGTGAATAGATTGAAATTGTTCACAGCTTTAGTTTGCTTGGCTCCACAGTCAACACTCTCGGCACCAGTAGCCAGGAAATTAAAAGACGTATTGCGATGGGAAAGTCTGCTGTTAGGGACCTCTCTAAAGTACTGAAGAGCAATGGTGTCTCTCTGGAGACTAAGGTGCATCTGATACAGGCCATGGTCTTTCCAATCACCTGTTATGCATCAGAAAGTTGGACAATGACTAAGAAGGATAGAAGGAGAATTGATGCCTTTGAGCTGTGGTGCTGGAGAAGAGTATTGAGGGTACCACGGACTGCTAGGAAATCAAACAGATTCATCCTGGAAAGGGTTAAACTGGGCAGCTCCTTGGAGGCAAGGATTCTGAGGCTTTGTCTAACGTACTTTGGACATGTTTGGAGAGACAGGTCTTTGGAGAGGGACATCATGCTTGGGAGGGTGGAGGGACAGCGCAGGAGGGGAAGACCCTCTATGAGGTGGATTGATTCAGTGACTGGGATAATCTGGATGGGTGTATCAGAGACAGTGCGATTGGCACAGGACAGAGCAGAGTTTAGGGCTGTTGTACATAGGGTCACTATGAGTTGCAAGCGACTCGACGGCACATAACAACCACAACAACATGTCATTAGCGTTGTTATTTCTTACAATGTGTAGGTTTGAGGATAGCTCCAGCTTTCACTGTGTTCATGCAGACACCAGGGCCTCGAAAACTCCCTTTTAGCTGGCATTGTCTGGCAGTCAGGGAAGTATGACAGAGAACACTATGCGTGGAAGATTATTTCCTCACATCCTGATCCTGGAGACATTTAAAATGTACAAGCAAAAGGGTCTCCCTTTTTATTCAAATAAACATCAATGTGGATAAAAAGTTACACGTATTATTGATGTTTTAGTGGATAACTTTATATTCCATTTTCTTTGATTGAAATGAGCGAAGCAAAAAAAATTCCAAAACCAGATCTATTGCTATCCAGCCATTCTGACTCCTGGTGACACTTCTGTTAGAGTGGAATTGTCCTGGAGGGTTTCTTTATGGGACCAGAGTGCCAGAACTTTCCTCTGCACGTTGGCATGTGGCTTTGAAATCCCAACCCTTGGGTCGGTTTAGAGTGAACCATTTGGGTGCCACCAATGATGTCTCTACAATGCTGTCTCTAACTGCTTTGACAGGAAGAGTACATTGCTTTGGAACAGTGAGGCTGCCTGTCCTAAAATTCTGCTCACACTTTTCAAAGGAATGAAACAGAACTGTGATATTTAGCTTCACAGAAAGAAAGAAAACAGTTGCAAGGTCACAAACAAGTTAATGGGAGCTGAAGGCTTCCCCTCTGCCACATCACTGCCATTCACAGCTCTCCCCGCCATGTCTCCACCATTCATGGTTCTCTCCATCGTCCATCTATCAGTCACGGCCTTCCACAGTCATCCCAACACTCAGCCGTTTTCAGTGTCCCTCCAGCAGCTCTCCATCATTCGTGGCTCTCTCCAGTTACAGCCTTCTGCATTCTCATTCCTTCACTTCCCGCATTCCTCATCATCTTTCCACCACTCATGGCTTCTCCATCATCCCCTACACCATCTACAGCCTTCTTCACCATCCCTTCACCGTTCCCCTCTAACATGCCTCCATCACGCCTCTGTCATTCACAGCCCCATCTACCATCCCGCCACGTCTTATTCCCATCCGCAACTCGCTCTACAGTTTCTCCACCATCCACAATCTCTTTGCCACCCTTCTACTATTCACAATCCTCCTCCCCATCCCTCCACCATTCCTGTCTCTCTCTATGCACCATCCCTCTGCCATTCATCGCTCTCTTCACCATCTCTCCACCATTCATGGCTCCCCCACTGTCCAAAATAAAAAGGGATGGACCATTTTGGTTTTTTAAAAAAAATTCTTATTGTAGTAATATAACCACACAACCCAAAACACGATGGCTTGTCAATTTTTAGGTGGATAGTGGAGTGGCATTGATCATTTTCATTATCCACCACTCTCGCTGCTATCCCTCCATCGTTCACAGCCTTCTCTGACATCCCTTCCACATCTCACCGCCATTCACATCTCTCTTCACCCTGTCTCCACCATTCATGGCTCACTCCACCATCCTCCCACCATTCACACCTTTCTCCACCATTTGTCCTCCATTCACAGCTCTCTCCACGATCTGCAACCCTCTCCACCATCCCTCCACCAGCTTGAATCCTTTCAGAATGGTCGAACCACTGTAACCTTTGCCAAAGGCACTGGTCCACTCAAATGACCCCAGAACTCACACTCTGAACCTGCGTGTGGGCTGCACGTAGACCAGAGGTGAGCTCTGGCAAAGGGTCAGTGAATGTGTGTCAAGGACTGAAATGTAAGTGTGTTAACACTCTCTCTCTTCACTCCTGGGTACCGCTCACCTGTTCCACCTGCAAGACCCTGCAGGTTCCAGGCCTGGTTTCTACACAGAATAGAAAGCACAACAGCTCAGTACCAAATAGATTAACAGCCCAGCGAGGAAATGGACCAAGGACTTGGACAGATATTTCTCCAACGAGGCCCTCTCGATGGCCCGCACGTACAGTAAGAGCCACCTTGACCTCTCAGTGGTTGTGCTCAGTTCATGCTCTCTTTCTGTCTTCCCAGCGGCGTTGGGATAACTTTCCTCTTCTGCTGGATGTTGATGATCCTCGTGGTTGTTGCTTTCTTCATCGGTGGCAATGTTGAAAAGCTCGTCTGTGAACCCTACGAAAACAAGAAGCTGTTCCAGGTAAGTGCGTGCATATGTTCTCTCCCGTGTGATGGAAGGACTTGGGAGGAAGCTTTCATTTCCCCCTTTTGGGTTTCTTTCAGCAGAACCAAAAGGGATGAGCTTATTTGGTTTTTAAAAAATTATTATCATAGTGATATAACCACATAACCCAACAAACTAGTGTTTGTCAATTTTTATGTGTATAGTTGAGTGTCGTTGATCATTTTCATCAAGGTGTCTAACCAACCTTGAGTGTCTGTTTTTCAAATTACCCCACCTCCACTTGTACATGTTCAAGCGACTGTGAACATGGCATAGTGTCAGGCAGGGCGTCAGTCTGGTATGCCAGGTCACATTCTATGATGCCACTTGAACAAGTTGTCCACTTGACCACACCACACAACAGCGAGACTGTCCAGGTCTCTCCCATTTCTCATTTGCCTGTTTTATGAAGATTAAACCCCACCCAACCTACTGTCATCGAGCTGCTTTCCCCACATCGCAGCCTGGTAAGATGGAGTGGCACCGCTGTGGTACCTGTGGCATAACTCTTTCTAGAAACAAATTGCCTCATCTTCCACTGGTGAGCAGCCGCGCATTTAAACTTTATCCCACCAGCACACCTTCTTAAGTTATAACAAAACAACACCCTGAAAACGAAAAACTCCTTGCTGGGAACCCACTCTTAGCTGACCCTCCGGCAGGTTTTCCGAGGCTGTAAATTGCACAGGGGAGGAGACTGCCCGTCTTTCTCAGAATGCACCAGACCTCCCTTTCTAGATAAAAGGGCTCAGCATCTCTTCTTGAGGCATGGGAGAGTGATTTGTTCAAAGCACACTGATATTTTCAAATTTTAACATGGAAAGTAGATGGTAAGGAAAAACCATCATGAGGAAAAGCAGGTGCGGATCTCAATATATTTAAGAGAATATTTTGTTTAAGCTGGTGCATGTCTGTTGGCATAAAATTGTCTTTAAAAAGGAAAATTTAAAAAGGATTCTTGTTAATTCTAGGTCTTGGACACACCGTACTTACTACATGATAAGTGGAGATACTACCTCTCGGGCCTGTTATTCCAGAATGATTCTGTCAAGCTCACCTTTGAAAGCGTTTACAGGTATGAACAATTCCAAGGTAAGTCTTGCTATTTAAAATGATCTTAAAAAAAAATAAAAAGGAAAGAAATAGAAGAGCTAGTCTCCACACAGTTAAGATTTGGGGCCAAGTTCTAGTGAGATGAGAAAAGATTGCAGAAAAGGAAAGAGAGGAAGTGAAGGTCATCGGTCACCCTTCCTGTGGCCAGGCACCCTTACTAGCCTGTTATTAGGCTACAGTGACTTTGACTTCTAAGAGGAAAGCAAAGGTCCCCTTAAACTTGTTCAGAGGGATGGTTTTTGCTACCTCATCCCGAATTTTATTTCTAAGCTTCGTATACTCTTGAAGAGCAGAAGGTACATCTCATTTCTCTCTTAATCCCCAGGCTTTTGCACCCTGCCTGAGTACAGTTGGTGCTCATGAGATGCTTTTTCACTGTTATTACTTTAATTTATACCCAGCCACCTCAACTCTTCTGCTGGAAAGATGTGGGATCTGATATCTCAAAGAAAATGCCAAAGTAGTTTCCACTCCCAGCTGTGCCGACTGAAAGTTTTTGTTGTTATTATGTGCCATTGAGTCACCTTCAACTCACAGCGACCCTGTGTACAATACAGCTCTGAAGCGTGCCCTGTCCTGATCAGTCTCACTGACTCTGACACACCTATCCCATTGCCTAAGTCACTGTATCAATCCATCTCATGCAGGGTCATCCTCTGCTATGCTGTCCCTCCACCCTTCCAAGCATGATGTCCTTCTCCAAAGATTGGTTCCTCCTGGCCACGTGCTGAAAGTATGTGAGACTGAGCTTCGAAATCCTAGCTTCCAAGGAGAAACTTGGTTTCACTCTCTCTAAGATAGACCTATTTGTTTTCTTGGCTGCTGATGATATGTTCAAGACTCTCTCCAGCACCACAACTCAAAGGCATCAGTTTATTCTGTCATCCATAGTCATTTTCCAACTCTTTCATGCATAACAAGTAATTGTGAAGACCATGGACTGGATCAGGTACACCTTAGACTCTACACTGACATTGTTGTTTCTCAGTACTCTGGAGAGGCCCCTGACAGCAGATTTACCTAATACAATTTGTCTTTTGATTTCCTGACTGCTGGTGCCAAGAACGTTGATTGTGGAGCTAAGCAAGCTGTAACCGTTAACAACCTCAATCTCTTCTCCATCCATCATGGTGCTGCCAATCAGCCCAATCTTTGTCTTCTTGATGTTGAGCTTCAATCCATATTGAAGACTACAGTCCTTGACCTGCACCAATCGCTTCAAGTCCTCCTCAGTTTCGGCAAGGAAGATTGTGTCATCTGCCTAATGTAGGTTGATGATGAGTCTTCCTCGAATCCTGATGCCACATTCCTCCTCATAAAGCCCACCTTCACAGATTATCTACTCTGCATTATAGATTTGAAAAGGTATGCAGACAGGATGCATCCCTGACACACTCCTTTCCTGATTTTAAACCATGCAGTGTTTCTCTGCTCTGTTCTGTGGACTGTTTCCTGGTCCAAGTATAGGTTTCACATGAGCACAATCAAGTGTTCTGGGATTCCCATCTTTCTCAAGGTTAGCCACAATTTGTTGTGATCCACACAATCAAATGTCTTTGCATAGTTAACCGAACACAGATAGACATTCCTCTGGTACTCTCTGCTTTCAGCCAAGACCGAACGAACAAGGAAAATGGTCTTTCTCCAGCACGGGAATTGTGTGCTGAGGAGTTTTAAACCCTTTGTTTAAGATTCTCCAGGTTTGGAGCTGGGCTGCCCGCTGGCGGATAAGGAGTTGTGCTGTCGGCCCGAAGGCAAACCTTCAAACCCACCAGCTTGCTAAGACCTTTGTGTTAGCAGGGCCACTGCACCCTGGTGCTCTGATAAAGCAAATGGGACAAACTCTTACCATACTCACTTATAAAGAGCACTCTGGCTCTTTAGAATCTGTTCTTCCAAAGCAGATTTGTTCATTCTTCTGACAGGCTTTGTGTCAGACCCATGATTCAAAGGCATCAATGTTTCAGTCTTCCTTGCTCACCTCTCAGTTTCTATACCCGTATGTTATTGTTGGATATGTTGGATATGTATACCGTAGAGTCGGAACCGACCCATAGCTGACCCTCGGCAGGTCTTCAGAGGCAATTAATCTCACAGGAGATTGCCCATCCTTCTCCTGCAGAGTAGCTGATGCATTTCAACTCCATGTCTTTGGGATTTCAGCACAGTTTCTTGTTACTAGGCCACCAGAGCTCCCCAATGAGGCAACTGAAAATATCAAATTTGGGTCAGATTTAAGTAATGTCTTTGCTTTTTAACATGGCCAAGAAATCTTTCCCAGCAGATTTACTCAATGGGATGTATTATTCAATGGGAAATA